TAAAAAGCTAATTGAAAAGTTAAAAAGAAAAGTTTAAAGTTAACATGCCTATTAAAAATTATATTTAGGTTTATAAACTAAAAAATGTAAGTGTCAGTATCAGCATTAATACCTCTAAGGTTATGTTGTATCAAAAAAAAATGTTTCTTTCACTCTCAGAGTGTTTTTCATGAATTTATTATAGAAACGCTTTATTTTTCTCAATATACTCGGGCAAGTTGGTGTTTCTTGTTATTACATTGACAATTTTTGCCATCAAAATATCAATATTTTTTGAATGTTAAAAAGGTAATAAGGTCTTGTACTTGATTCCAATATCACTATTGGCTTGAAATTTTGATTTTCTAAGTATTTCACTGAGTGCCCTATAAAAGATTAAGTAGCAGAGGCTACACCATAAAATCTGAAAGGTTGAGGTGAAAGTAAAATGAAAGGACAGGATTCAAGAAATAAGGGATCAAAATGTTTTACATTTCTTTCTTAGAAGTTAGCCTGAAATTAAAAAGACTACGATGACGACATAAGATCCACTGACCTAAATCACTGGACGTCCTCTCCAGTGTGTCGAAGGACCAGCCGTGGTACTGAGCGAAGCCCTCATACATCTCAAATACCTTCAGGAGGGGGCACAACAAACGGATGAACATCACATCAAAGTGGCTTTTATTTTATTTTATTTTTTTGTTTAATTGAACTTCAAAACAAGAACTTGATCAGACCTCAGCGGTAAACAGCATGGCCTCCTGACCACCAACCCCAGCTGTGACCTCCAGGACCAGGTCGCTCATGTCCGCCTCCTCCTCGGGGATTAGCAGCTCCAGGACCTGGACGGTCAACATGACGTTAACATTACAAATTAAAACAGCTTCAGATGACATAGTTGATGGTCCATTTCCTCTTGCAGCAGGTGGTTCTACCTTTTGTCTGAGATGCTGAATATCTTGTGAACAGCTTTCTCTTTCCAGCTCAGCCAGTTCTCTCAGGGCTGCGTCATCATCTATGAAGAAAGACAAGAATACTGTTGAAAACAGATAGAGGACACTGAACCCGTTCTCCATTCAACCTGGAGTCTGACATGCACCTCGGGCCATGTTTTCAGGACCCTGGGGAAGATATGTTGGAAATTAACTAAAATACAATGATATCACACCAGAAATACAAAAGGAACCATGATTTAAATTTTACTTTTTTTTATATATGATATGATTATACATTTTTAGCACATTTTTGCACCTTCTGTTTGTTTAGAAAAGCCTATGTCACAAGTAATTTCTTCACTGCCAGACCAATAAAGTTAGGTATATGCCAACCTTCAGACAATGAACATAACAAAGACACAGTTTGGAGATCGTTCAACAAAATCCTCTTTCGGTCTCACCTTTCAGGAGCATCTCAGTCTCTGTCATCTCTTTCTGCTTCTTGTCGAGCTCTTGGATGCTCTGGATGAGAGGAGCCAGCTGGGATACTTTAGTTCTCTTGGCCTTCTTCTCATCGTCGCTGCACTCATCTTCTGTTGCGCTGTAGGTGACAGCCTGTAAGCACTCCTTATATTCTTTCTCCAGCTTTTTCAGGTGCTCCTGCAGAGATCTTTTGGCGAATAGCTCATCCACTGAGAGCAGCTTCATCATCATGGCTGGTTGCCCAGTGTGAAGAAGCCTTTGGGTTCTGACATATTGATCAGGGAGCTGCTTGATCACAAAGCTGCCAGTGAAATGTGGCTTTTGAAAGTGGGTTATCCACTCACTGCCTCTCCGAAGATGGCTTACAAGTCTCCTGTGAGCCATTTTATATTTCACCTAATCTGCTAAAGCAATATAGAGACAATCACATTCTGATGCTATACTCCAGGTTTATAACATTGCACTACTTTACTTAATTAAAATCCACATTTTATTAGATTAAATAAATGCAAAAAAAGGGTGTAAAAAAAAAAAGAAGAAAAGCTGGTTAATTTATAAACTTTCTATTTTTTTTAACCGACTTTGGGTTTCAGGACCGTCATCCAAACATCTGCCAAGATTTAAATAAATAAATTCCGCATTACTGCTATGAGAAAGAGAAAAGCTAATTTGAAAATTAGTATTTAAGATTTGGTTGAACCCAGGAAACATATAGGAAGATCATTGACAGACTAAACAATAACTTTGCAGCGCTGGTAAAACAACTAAAAGCTACCGTCGGGGTGTTCCTGTCGTCGGATACATTCCTGTGGTCCTAACAACACTAACTTTAATCATTATTTTTCATAAAAAATATCTAAAAATTGCTTCTTAACATCTTCTACAATGATGCAGCTCCTTTAACACCTTGCTATGGGCGCAGACATGTTGACGCATGCGCAGAGTGAGGACTGTTTCACAATGAGCTGTTGTGTGTCTCCCTCTAGTGGCCTTTAAGGCTCACTGCAGTCATACTCAGATACTGGGTAAAAAAAATAAAATAAAATAAATAAAAACTGCTATATTTTATTTAATAATAATAATTGAACTTTATTGATCGCACATTGGAGACATTTACCTCTGTATTTAACCCATCCCCTTGGGGAGCAGTGGGCTGCCATTGTGCGGCGCCCAGGGAGCAGTGTGGGGTTAACCCTTTATAGAGCACTCAGTGAAATACTTTTAAAATCAAAATTCCAAGCCAGTAGTGTTATTGGAATCCAGGACAAGAGCTTGCTTCCTTTGTAACATAAAAAAATTGATATTTTTATTGCAAAAAATGCTGATACTTACATTTTTTAGTTTATAAGCCTAAATATAGTTGTTAACTAGTTTTTTTTTTTTTTTTTTACTTTTCAATTAACTTCTTACCTTTTTTCTTGACTTGTTAACTTTTTTCCAACTTAATTTACATTAGAACATATATCATTCAAGGGCTCATATAATTGGTCAAATGCCAAAATAAGATGTACAGCCATGTAGCAATATCTTTGCTGAATGGCTGGATATAGATCTTGTGCTTCTAGACCTCACTGAGAGAGGAGTGGGACTCCATTTGTAAGGGGTCTGCAAGTGATGATCAAAAACAGTAACCTGCCCTATAAAGAGTCTTGCTCAGGGAGCCAGTGTGGCAGTCTGTGGGAGTGGGGATCAAACTCAGAACCTCAGGATTCTAAGCTCTATGCCCAAACCACTAGTCCACCACAACGTAGCAATATTCCTTTAGGAGCTATAAGAAATACACTGGTAAGTACAGTCTAGTGTTTGGTAAAAACAGTACTTTTTTTTCTTTCTTTTTTTTTGCAGAAACAGAGCTGGTCTATGAAGGCCTCTGAGGTTGTTTGGAGAACATTAGCGACCACAGCATCACCATTGAACATGTTGCATGTTTATGCATTTAGTTAACGTTTATGCATTTAGTACATGCTTTTATCCAAAGGGACTTGCAAAGTAGACACAATTTTAGATCATCAATATAACAATAATTTCTCTAGAGGAAAAATCCATAATCAGAATAGCATCTGGGGATGAAAGTTGTTGCAGAGTTAGGTTATAACACACAAATTTGAGCATTGCATGGTCTCAAAACAGAAAAGTGTGGCAAATATTATCCTCTGACGTTTGGACTTTTACTGCCCATGCGAGGACCACATTAAACATGCGAAAATCCAAAAGTTAGGAAAGAAACTCTAGCATATAGAGGGAAACTGTTAATAGAGTGCTCTGCACATTTGTGTAGGGCACTCTATTAACAGTTTACTTTGCACTAAACTGAATTCTATGAATTGGCGTGGAAAATATGCAATTAAAGACAATTTAAACCTGTAAATTAGACTCTGAACAGGAAAGATTAGGGGATTATCATTGAATTAGCATAGAGACAATTCAGTATGCAAGGTTTCTTACAAATGCATGAACATTCATTAAAGTTATTAACTGAGCTTTTAATATGAATTCGACTACATTGCATTTATGCAAAAGTGACATCAAGACTTTAAAAAGAATTGTAAAATACAACATGACTGGAAGGGTTGCTTATCTAATCTCCAGCCCCAGCCCCATTTCCTTACTGTCTGGTTTCAGTGAAAAAGTCACTTTGCACATTCCAGACAGGGGTGTGAACCTTTTGGCAACCCCCCTTCCAGTTCCTTTTTAGTGTTTGTCTTACCCAAGCATGCAACAGTTGTTTTTCACAACAACATTTAACATGTCTGATAAAATTAGCACAGGTAGCCTTTACTGTGCTGTGTATGTCTGAGTCTGTATAGCCTCTAAATTACACATAACATAACTCCCTCAGATTATCTAAACTAAAATTTAACAAAATGCTGAGCTAAAAGTTCTGCTTTACCCTTTTTTTTCTAAAATATACCTCTATCTAAGCCAAATGTCATGATTGCCACTTCCTAGACCACCTCCTAATTATTCCCCAGACATGCTTTATTAATCCTCTTCTCCCTATAGCATCTCTTCGTGGTGCCTTTTATCACTTTCCTTACCATTGCAAACTTCTGTTTGCCATTGCACATTATAAAAACACTGTTTCCTCCTTACAAAATAATCTTCACTCCTTAAGGTCTGTCTTTCTGCCCACAAATTTACACTACATAGTACCTGATGTATATTGCATAGCTGATCCCTTCCACCCTATATGTTAAATTTGTTCCACTGCCATCGTTTAAACACATTGAATTATTTGAACAAATTATTCAATCAGTAATCCATTCTATTCTTTACCCCTATCCCACACTTTGCTATGTGCATTAAAATTAAAACATATTACTTTACATTCTAAATGGTCAATCACTTCCTGCATATTTTTCCATCAACAATTTTTTATATAGGTCATAAAAATGTTCAACTGACTCTAGCCTCAGTTCAAGTTATTCTCCCTTTCGTCACTACACATCTGTTTTCATGTTTCACTTCGGAGTAGAACCCTGTTGCACCACTTCCGCCCAACCTGAAATCTAATTGGTCCACGCTGGAACGCGGCAGCTTTCTGCTGCAACCTGATTGGTTTGCGCCTTTGCGCACGGATTTCAAATAGAAGCAGAAACGGGCGGATTTATTACTGAGATAGAGGATTTTAATTTTGTGAAGCGGCTGTCTGGCGGACAGAGAGAAACGTGGACAGAGCTTCAAGTACAGAAAAAAGGGATACTTCCTCGACGTTACTTTAGCAGAATAACTCAAGGTATGAGTGTTTTTTAAATAAACTTCAAGCTAAAAACCGACATTTTATATTGTTATCGAGGCAGTTTCGGGTTCTGTTAGCATGGCAGTGTGTAATTAGCTCCGTTGTTTTTGTCTCTTTTTTTGTTGCTTTTCTGGGTTCGTGTACTGCACACAGCATCGCAGAAAATAACCGACATTTAAAATCAAGCATCATTCTATGCTTATGTTTAGCTTGTTACATGCTACTGTGACTTAGAGCGCCAAATGCGTCCGCCTAAATGCACTTCCCCATGGGACTATTTCTTATAAGCATCATTATTAAATGCACTAACCTAATGCAAAGCTTATTTTCTGTTATTAATCCTTTGTTTTAAAGTGTGGGAAATACCAGCAGATTGCTTTACGTCATCTTTCCGCCGCCAAATCCGCATCGCGCCAAAATCATTCCTGTTTTAAACACAATGTACAGTTTGATCGTTGATATAAGATCGATGTTAAGACAAGTTACTCCAACATGTTATGTGTGCACTGGAAATGCTTTTTTTCTTTATTGTATTTAAACCTCTGAAGAAGCTATGCTATTTGATGAGCCTTGGTCATGCTACAGCATCTATGTAGGCCTGACATTTCTCCTCTTGTGTCTTTGCAGGGATCACAATAACTGCTCAGTGGGAGCAAATGTTTAATTTAACCATGAAATGTCCCATGATCAAATCTACAAAGGAGAGCACGATGGAGAAAAGCTTAGCTGCTGCAGAAGCTAAAGTGCTTTACCCTAAAGATTCCCCAAAGAAGGAGCCATCCCCCATTAAACCCCAGCATTCCCCAGCCGGAGTGACCACTGAACTATTCCCCATCAAGAGTGACACCAGTACAGTTCACAACAAGGAAAACAGCACCAACAGGGAACAGGATGGGATCTCGGATGAATTTTTTGAAGACAGTGGTTATTTATCTTTGATCAACAGTCATATTGATCACCATGTAGACGAGGAAGGTGAAGTTATAGCTGGGATACACCGGGGAAAGACTGTTTCAGCAAATAATTCCCCCACAAAATGTCAGGGATCGGCTAGACTCAGCCTTCCTGGGACCCTTTCGGTTCACACACCTGTAGATCGACATAAAAGGACAACGGGGGCTATGTCGTCCACCCCAGCAAATCAACACAGATCCAACCTGCCCATTCTACGTTTCCAGCAGGATGTTTGTGAAGAGCTCGCTAAGAGCTACAAGAAGAATAAGAGGTAATATTTTAATACAGCAGGGACATGTTATTTTAAAGAGTGATAACTGATAAAGGGATAATATTTGTAGTTTGAGTTTAATGGAAGTTGGATGTTGCAGGTATGACTGGAGTGTCATCCCAAAGATAGCAGAGGATCATCTTTTGGATCGTATAATCGGAGGACAAATTGGCCTAGAGCACATCGACATGTTTACATCTCTGCTCGTCAGGAACATGAAAATCATCCTGACAAACATCCTGGCCATGTTGGGAGACATGGACCTAATCAGGTAAAAGGAGAAACATGTAGGATTGACAATAAGATTTTTTTTAAATATCAGAATTAGGGCTAAACAACTAATCACAATTAATCGATTATTGAAATAATCGTCAACTAATTTAGTAATCGATTAATCGTTAACTGGAGTTTAGAGACTCTAAAATATGCCTTTAGCTGACAAGGAAACCCACTTAAAGCAGTAATTATACCTACGGTAAATTGTACAATTTGCATTTAAGATAAAAAGGAACCTTTGGATATCCGATTATTAATCACTGAATTGAAAGAATTATCAACAGAAAAACAGATTTTGCAAAATAATCATTAGTTGCAGCCTTAATCGGAATATTATTTTGTTTTTACTGTAGCATAATCCCATTTTTCCCCTTATAGTTGTAGGCAAGTGAGCAGGACATGGAGGAAGATCATATGTGAGGATTCGGCAGCTATGAGGAGGTGTCGACAAGCTGAGCAGGCACTCAGGGTGAGAAAATTGATGCAAACAGCCAAATATATGAAAACATGTTGGGGAATATTCTGTAACTCGCATAAGGGTTCTTGGTCATTTAAACTTTATGTTTTTAGCATCATCATAACAGAAAGGAATGTATTCTACCACAGATAAACAGATGTCAAAGGCATGAGTTTGATCCTATTGAAAATCGTAGCGCATTGTTGTGGTTTTTCATATGCAACCTGGTTTCTTCAGATTTGGCACAATTGCTGATTTAAAATCTTCCTGCATGTAAACTGGTAGTGAAAAACCAGGAACTTGGAGATCCAGAAATCCAGCTGAACGAACAGATGTTTGAAATGGGTGACATCTAGAGGGAAATGTTTTCTACAACAGTTTAAGGGATGAAGGCTTTCTTTGGAGGAAACTTATTGGGAGGCAGCGGAAACTAGGTTGGATGTTCACCTTTGCCAGAAAAGAGCTGATGTCTGGACAATCTGGATATTTGTATAACTGAACCTTGGCGTTCATTTTTAGACATTTAAACCACAAAGCTGGAGGAACCGCACCTGAAAAAAACAAACAAAACATGCAGCTTTGATTAGAGATGGGGGGGTTCTTGTGGAACGCCAACTATTTGACTTTTGATAAGGAATTATTCAGTCATGCATTAAGCTTAAGTGCCATCACTACCTGGTCAGTGCCAGAAGTATTGTCCGTACCATCAGCTCATTTGCGCATGTGCAAGCAGATATTCATCCAGTTCGCCATAAATGGTGTAATTATGCTATTTAAAGCATTTATTTCTGTCCTCAAGTCGCCAAAGAATGCTAGACAACATGTAAAAATATTTGCATTGCAGTCTCTCCATTAAACTGCTGGTCTGACATCATCAGACCTGCTCAGAGCAGTCCAGCAAACTTGATTACACTTTGTGTAACTGCATTTTAAGTTCTTTTTTTTTCTTTATATTATGCAATATAAACTATAGGATTAAAACGAGAGGCAAAAATTAAACTAGAAAAAAATAGATTTACCGTATGTATAAATACAAAGCTAAAATGGTTAGCTCCTGGAGGTAGCGTAGGCTCCCTTTTTTTAGCTGGATGGGGCCCAGACAAGTGATACAACAGCAAAGATTTAAATGCATTTATTTTTTCAGAAAATTAAATATAATATATTATCCTTTTACACAGTAAAGTTTAGTATGGTTCTTATTTTTGGGGTGAGAGAAAAAAAACTGAGTAAAATCAAGGGTGACCCAGATGCATATCAGGTTGTGTATGACCAAATGAGCTGATGGTACAGATCAGGTAGTGACAAGCACTTTACCAAGAAAGTCTAATAATTTATACTCTAAACCTACCAGATGTGTTTTTATGCTAATTAATGTAACTTATAAAATTTAGGAGTCAAGAAGCTCTCGGATGAAAACTGCAAGTGGTATGACACGAGACCTCGCTACATCCAGAGTGGTGCTGTCCTGCATGCAGACACTGGCCTCTTCCAGCACCCCAGCTTCCTCTCAGTCTCCGTCCAGACATAGCTGCAGGACGACTCGTCACACACCTACCTCTCGCTTTAGCGAATATTCACAGGTGAGTCTCTTAATCTTAGCTTTAAGATTCAATCAATTAATTTTTCCACTTTTTTAAGCTTTCGAACCGATCATTAACCAGCACTGTCTTTTACAGGTCGCCAGCAGTCTGAAGCAGCACGAGTCTCTGCGCTCTTGCAGGCGCTGCGGCTCGCCTGCAACCCATTCTGCTGAGGTTCAGAGAGCCAGGTGTACCCGTTCCAACTGTCTCTTCGAATTCTGCACTCGCTGTCAGGAGCCCTTCCACGGATCCGCTCCCTGCCGAACGGTCAAACCTCATATGAACTGCAATACCTCTAAGGTTACACCCATCATCGCGGGGGGCCCTCGCAGCAAACAGAGCGTCCGGCGTTTGTGATAAAGCTTTATTCTGGCTTTTAATCAATGACTTTTAACCAAGGCGGACATCTCTGCTGCAGGGCTCTTTCTAGGGGCTCCTGGTCAACCTTGGACAGCTTTTATGCTCTCAGCATGAGAATGGCATTGACTGTTACACGGCTCAGATAAGTACTTTAAGCAATGCTTGGACAATCAATTCGTGGCCTGTGAGCAACTGTTTTATTTGTTATTTTTTTCCAAAAGAAATACAGAATTTATAATTGTATATTTTTATCATTTTTAGAGTCAAATAAACTGTTTTTATTTTATATTTTTTGACTTTTTAGTGTAAATAAATGTTGATGGTAGTCGGTCTTGTTTAGGTTGTATGTTGCATTTGTATAATCTGTTCCTGTAAATAGAATTGTTTTCATATAATCTTTCCTGTGTGATGTGGTCTTTTTCTAATACCCTAAATCTTCAAAAAGTGACATTTTAACTCGGTCCCAGCTTGATCCGTTAAATTATGCCTATCTAAGCATGTGGACTGTTGTATTTCCTGCCTTTTTCTTAATCAGTATTTAAAACAGATGAGGCGTTTACTTTGAAGAAAAGTCAGATTTTCATTTATTTATTCCTAAAGTTATTGAAGTGCTTCAATTAAATCATAAAAACATTAATAGACATTGGCAATGTCCCTCCTTTTGGCTTTTATTTTTTTTTAGTTTGAGCTTCAAAAGACACAATTTGGAACCTTTAAAGAAAAAAGTATTGCACAAGAGGGCAGTATTGCTCACTTCAAAGCTTTTCTTATCAGTAATGTCATGATTTTCCTTTAAAAAAAAAATACAGATCAGATTCAGTTCTAATCTAAGTGATTAAATATGGATGCCAATGACAGAAATTCTATATTAAAATCTGCCATAGTACAATACATAGAATTTCAACTAAACACTTTATTTCACTTGACTGAAATTTGAGTTCAATATTTTCTGAAATTTAAAAAGCATCAACAAGTGATCTTAATGCAATTGGATCGCACAAAATTTACTGATCACCCTGCAGCATCATTGCGAATCACTTCTGAAACTTAAAGAGGTGGTTATCCACACATGGAGACAACAGTTGGGAACCTTAGCTGTGCCCGGTTTACTAAGTTTACTCCATATCAATGATACACAAGGTCACAGAAAAACTACAAACTCTTAGAGCTGCATCTATAACACTGGAGGCCTTTTTTGCTTCAGTTATGGTCAGAGTTCATCTAAAAATAACAGCATTTCAGGAAGTGAGCAATCATACCAATGGTCAAACAAAGTAGAGGCGGTTTGATGCATAAGAATCTGGACAATTGTCTATTATTACCTAGCTGTTCTCTGCTTGACACCCCAAAAGGAGAATATGTTGGGCTGTTTTCATGATATATATAAAGCTGATGATTTCCATGAAATTGCAGGACTTCCCAAATGGCTAAACTTTTGACCCCATAAATAATTCCACAGACCGGAGACTATAAAAAAATATCCATCCTTCTTCTCCTGCTTAGTCCTTGTCAGGTTCATGGTGGGGCCGGTGCCTATCCCCAACCGTCTATGGACAAGAGGCGGGGTACACCCTGACAGATGGACAAGTGCCAGTCCATCTTAGGGCAACACAAAGACACACAACCATGCACACACACGCACCTAAGGACAATTTAGAGAAGCCAATCTACCTAACAGTCCTGTTTTTGGACTGTGTGAATAAGCCGGAGTACCCGGAGAGAACCCACGCATGCACAGGGAGAACATGCAAACTCCATGCCCAAAGACCCCGGGCTGGGAATCAAATCCAGAACCTTTTTGCTGCAAGACAAGAGTCCTACTCACTTTACCACCGTGCAGCCCCCTAAAAACATTTACATTTAATAACTTTATATTCATTTATTAATATAAAGTCAAGTAATAACATTCATTTTTGTTAAAATTCATTTTAATTATCTAATTCATAATTCTACATCTTTTTTATTCATTCAGTAGCACATAGCTTCTGATGTATCATTTACATCATGGTAGCAGCTCTGAAACAGAAGCAATAATTCAGCTCCCCTCACTATCATCTGCAGGGCCACTTTTTCTTTTGTCATCTGACGATTTGAGGTGAAACCAAAGTCAGAACCTAAAACAGAAATTATTTAAATATTCTCACTGGTGTGTGAAGCGGAAAAGATGTGATCTAGCTTTGTAATGGATGTTTTGTTTTCCAGCTTTAAGTCTGTGCTTACGATCACCTTTTAAATGAACCAGTTCTTCCCTTTTGAATTAGACTCATACATATGACTTGAACGCCTGTTTTTCCAGTTCATACTGGCTCATCAGGTCAGACCTTCTCACCTGGGCGGCTCACAAGGAGCTTTCTTGCAACAGCCTCGTTAAATATTAGCAATGACCCTTTAAAGCAAAAATACCCACCACTAAACTTATTAACAATGAAAGTTTAATTTATCTTATTTGTTTATTCTGGTGCTTATTCTGCTATTTCACATCTTTAGGTATAGTTTTAGATATTTTTTTTTTTCAGATGTTCTTTCTTTTTTGATCGATAATTACAGCTTAGTTTTTTGCGCTTTTATTTAGTCCTTTACGTTTGCTCTGTCTTGTTTTCTTTTTTCTATGTGACTTTGGGTGTAAACATTTATATTGTCATTAGAAGTGAACTCACAGTCATAGCCAGTCATGTGCAAAGCTTAATGAATGAGAGAGAAAAAATTTCTTTAGTTTACTTGAATGACCTTTCTCATTCAGCTAAACCCAGAGACTTTGTGCGATAAAATCTCAGGTATCTCCTTATCTGACCTGCAGCACTGGAAAATCACCTGCTTAAAAAATCCACTTGCTACACTTTAAGAAATTCCTCCAAGGATATCTGCAATTTCCCCTCTAACAGGTTGGGCTGAATCAGCCTCCCCTTGCTCAGATGAGTTATGATTCTACAAATAGCATCACTGACACTGGATGGTTACCCCTGACATTTGCAAGATGACCCATTTGTCTCTCATCTCTGCCTCTTGCAGCAGAGCTGCTGTGTGCTTGTTTTTATTGCGATGACAAACGCACACAGCAGTCAGCTCTCATTTAGCTCCAGCATGGAAGTGGGACTTCTGTCTGTGGCTGGGATATCCTGTGGCACGGAGAATCCTGTCAGAAAAGAATCCCTTCCTGTGCGACAGAGCAGGTGTAAGCCTGCGGTGATTTAATGAAGCAACTGGAGCTTCCGTCTTTATTAATGCATCTGATTACAGTTCAGTTTATACTTAATGCTTTCAAACTCGGAAGGAATTGGAAGAAATAACCATAAGGATTTTAGCTCAAGTTTAAGTGAAACCAGTAAAACATTTAGAGTCATTATCTAGAGTTTATATATAAATAAATCTCAATCTTAATGGGTTATTAGTAGTTATCCTTGTGAAACATGTTTTATGTTATCGAGGGCTTCAAATTCACATTTTTATTCCTGTGTTATTTAGGTCTTTGAGTTTTAGATTTCCTTCTATGTTCCTGTGGTTTGCAGACAGAGGCAGAAACCTTGTGGGCTTAAAAAATGGCCAGTGAAGCACAGAAAACGCACCAAAAAGAAAAAAAAAAAAAAATCAGACTGGATACATATAATGTAGAACTCCTTTTTTATAATATATATATATATATTTTTTTTTTTTAAGAGGCTGTTCTTTTCAAAGCAAAGGGGCAGGGGTTCCACTTTCCTCAATCATAACAACAACAAAAAAGCGTGTAAACGACCCAGCTTTTAAAGCTTCAGCCTGAACCATCTCTAATATAAGAGGTGGAACCCTTTACAACATTTACTTTTTCTATTTGGGAAACAATCAACCAAAATTAAATCTCTAGAGGAAAAAAAAAAAAAGAAAATGTAAATTTAACTTGAACTAATTGAAGCTAAGCAATAACCTAAATTCAAACAAAACCCAAAATATTTCCCCTCCCTCTCAGTCTGTGGGGATTTCCCTCATGAGGAAACATGTGGACCCACTTCCCTGGCCTGACCAGGTGACCTCAAAGAAAAAGAGAGTGGTGAGGAGTTCTTAATTTTACATCAATTAAGTCAAAGATTAAACCTTCCCTCTAATACTCAATTTCTTAAAAGACTTACAAAGACTTAAAAAGATTTACAGCACCTATTAGTGAGGGGCTAAATCCCTTACACTGTGTCTCTTTGTTTTTGTTCTCTAGTTTTTGCCATTTAATTCATGGGATTATTGACTAGATTTTATAATTACTTCTAGTTTTCTATATATTTCTTGTATTATACATTCCTTTCTGTTCTATTTCTCTCCTTCAGCTCCCTCTGAATTAATCTGCAAGGTAAATAAATGCTTTACTGTTTTCATTCTCCATGGCCACAACAGTCATTGTTACAAACATAAAAACACTGTTCAATATTTAATATATATATATAATATATACTTATTATTGAAACATATCGTCCTATAAACACAAGTATAACCTGAAACTTTAGTTCATCTTCTTATTTGCAGATTTTATTTGGCGGTTGGCAACCAACTGTAGGTGTGCATTAACGCCACCACTGATTCTGAGTGTGGTGACAAAAACAAACAAACAAACAAAAAAATCTAATTGTCAAACAAATTAATTATTTTAAGGAAATCTATCAACATTTGAAAACTATCAGGTAATACATTTGGTTGTAATAATTCCAAGAATATCAAATAAAATTTTATTTTTAGATAGATTTAGTGTCAGGACTCCTGTCTGTGTGTTTGTGCTTCTGTGTTTGTCTCCCTTCCTCCACCAGGAGGCGCCTGGTTCTGGTCCGCCTTCTCACACGCCTGCTGATGGTTTCCTCGTTAATGGAGTGTTCTTAAGCTGCTGATTGCCACTACCTCGACGCCACAGTGTTTGCCAGTTTTGGGTACTCTAGCCAAGCGGAGTTTTGCTGAGTCAAGCTGAGTTCTTGTCAACCTGATTTTTAACATTGTTTGTCTTTTGCCTCTCGGCAGGAAGTCATCCTGCAAACTGGATTTTTCAGACCTTCTTTCCCTGGAAGGATCAACTGAGCTTCAAACTGAGTTGGGGTTCAAACAGGAGGTTTGGATCAACTTTCCCCAAAAGATCGTTTGAGCTTCACACTGAGAAAGGGATTCATCTCCATTACGACCCGTTCATGTACCGCAGGAAATCTGAGTGGCAGTCAGTTTCTCCGTTCATCTACAAACACCGCATTCTGGGTAAACCCTGTTCCGCCCTCCACCGAATCCGACAAACACTGGAACTACAGCATACAGACTGGAGTCAAAGATTCAACAACTTCTCTGGAAACGTCAGTCAGCAACCAAATCCTCTTCTCCAGGTTCACAAATCTATTTTCCCACTGAGCCTGAACTAATCGCTGTGCCTTCCCCTCATTTTTCAGTTC